AGGATGTAATAGATTGTTCAAGTCCTTATCATTGAATACCTTCAATTAAACTTAAACCTCTTTTTCTCATTGATAAGCAAATAAGCAACTGAAAGTTATAATTCAACTCTTGGTAAAATAAGCAAATAAGCAACGATCATGAATGACAAACATACATGAAGATTTCTCCCTTGGTAAAAGCAAGTTCCTATCTTCACATTTATACATGTGTACAAAAATTTCATATACTTTTTCCTACTCTTATTATCCACAAACTTTCGTTATCGATTTGTTCTAGCAAACTGGCAAATCCAATACTGCAAGATATAACATAATAATCAACCGCTCAATATAATTCCAGTCATGAAAACCTCTTTTTAAATAATAATCTCAAGATGTTTAAAATCACTTCAATCTCTACACATCACTCAATGCCCACTGTAAATTTTGGAAGCACAGCTACAGATCTCATTCTATTTGATAAAACCAAAAAAAAAAAGGAAATACAATTGGGAGAGGGGTGGGATAGAAATAACCTTTTGGAAGCGAAGCATCCTCTTTTGTTCTACCAACGATGTCCATAGGTTCCATTTTCGCCTAAAAAACAAAAAAAGGGCTAATTGAATTAACAGATGCAATATATACAACAAAAAACTGCAATCTTGTGTGTATTTGACATTCATCATATTTTCATATCAACCAACACTAATCCGTAATCACCCTAATATCATATCATACTAACAATATTCCAAAATCACAAACCATCTCCAAAATCAACACACAACTCAATTTCTTTCTGCTCCAAACAAGTGCAAAAAGAGAGCAAATATCATCAAACTACAACAAGGCCACCTATAAACATCACTTCAAATAATTCAATCCAAAGTCACCACATACTCATGAATTCACCTCCACATCTTTTCTTCAATCGTCCCAAATTCACAAAAATAATATCAAGGTCAAGAACACCATCAAATAAGCTAAAAAATAATTCACCTCATACCATACATCACTCTCATCTCCATAACTATCAATTCAAATAACTAAGCACAAAGAAAAGAGAGCAAATTCATCAACACAAGCTCGCACTCGAGGTGTTTGACTAAATTCCCCAAAGAGGTCTCAACCCTAATAGCAAATTAATACCAAAACACACCATCTATTCATCAATTCTACCTTAAAATCGCGAAACTACAAGAGAAGGGACGAAAATTCGTACCTTACTTGATGAATTCGAGTTAATCCCGAAATAAGCAAACCCTAGGTTAGAAGACACCAAATTTCTTTCTTCTCAAGAGCTTAAATTCGTAAAAAAATAGATTAGCTGATGAGTATATGTGACCTCGTGATTGATTTCGAGAAAAAGAAGCTAGAGAAATTGAGAAATCGAGAGAGACGAGAGAGATGCGAGAGAAAGAGACGAGAGAGAGCGTGAAGAAGAAAGTGAAGAGGAAAGGAGAGAGGTTCTTTTTTAAACGCACCTGGGACAAGACACGACTTGCGTCATTTTTTTTTTTTTATACTGGGACCTTCCGGTTTCCAAATCCATAATGGAACCGACTAATCCGGATTAGCCGGGTAGGATCACAAGGGCGCCACGACTCGCGTCTCTTTAACACACGTAGTCTTCTCTTTAACACACGAGTCGTATGTACGTAATTAAAAACGAAGAAAAATTTACCCAACAGCGCTTGGATAAGATGACTTGGGTCTCTTTCAGCTTAACCAGTGGTCTTGTGTTCGAACCTTGGGAATGCAGCAGTGTTAAAACTCTTAATGGGGAGCTTTACCGCCTTTGTGGTCCTGCCCGGCTCGATTCCGGATTAGTCGGTTCTCCTGTACCCAAAAAAAAAAGGAGAAAAATTTGCCCAGTGTCACACGCGTCGTGTCTCCAGCCCACACGACCCGTGTGAAGCCACACGACTCGTGTCGACCACCCACATGAGTCGTGTCAAAAAGTCGAACCTAAACTCGAAAAATCTCTTTTTTTTTTCCCCAGGTCACACGAGCCATGTCACTATGCCACACGACCCGTGTGAACCTGGGACTTTTTTTTTTACCCAATAAAATAAAACTAAGTCTATTCTAAAGAAAAACTATACGCTAAAACATTGGGTTGTCTCCCAATAAGCGCTTAATTTAATGTCTTTAGCTAAACGATTACCTGACTTACCTTTAGTCGTTCAGATAGACGATAAAGATCGTCTTGACTTGCTCCGGGCTGAAATATGGTTTGATCCGCTGAGCATTCACCACGAATGTAGTGCCGTCACTTACGGCTAATTCCATAGCTCCATTGGCCATCATCTTCGTGATCACGAACGATCCAGACCACCTCGACTTGAACTTACCGGGAAAGAGCTTGAATCGCGAATTGAAGATTAGGACATGTTCACCTTCAGCGAATTCTCGCTTCCCAATCAATTTGTCATGGTATCTCTTTGTCTTCTCCTTGTAGATGCGAGAACTCTCATACGCCTCCGTGCGAAACTCGTCCAATTCGTTGAGCTGCAACTTTCTTCCGAGCCCGGCATTTTCAAAGTCGAGATTGATCTTCCTCATAGCCCAATATGCTCAGTGCTCCAATTCAACAGGCAAATGACATGATTTACCAAATACCAATTTATATGGAGACATACCTAGGGGAGTCTTGTACGCTGTCCGATAAGCCCACAATGCCTCATTGAGGTGATTCGCCCAATCCTTACGATTCCTAATGACTTTCTCGGGCATTTGCTTGATCTCCCGATTAGCCAACTCGGCTTGCCCATTAGCTTGTGGATGGTATGTCGTCGTCACCTTATGCTTCACTCCATACTTGGGAAGGAGACTTCCAAGCCACTTATTACAAAAGTGCGACCCGCCATCGCTAATCAATGCTCTCGGAGTCCCAAAGCGTGTAAGGATATTTGCCCTCAAAAATTTCAGCACCTTCTTAGCATCATTTGTCTTGGTCGGCACCGCCTCTACCCATCTCGAAACATAGTCCACCGCCAAAAGAATATACTTGGACCCATAAGACACCGAAAAAGGTCCCATAAAATCGATCCCACATACGTCAAAGAGTTCCACCTCAATTCAATGATGTTGGTGAAGGGAATCTCATCTCGCCTAGAAATTTCTCCCGTCCGTTGGCACCTATCACATGATAACATGAACCGGTGACAATCTTTATAAATTGACGGTCAATAGAAGCCTCTTTGCAACACCTTGATGGCGGTTCGGTTTCCCGCGAGGTGACCTCCACCCGGTGATAAATG